GATCCTCCATTGCAACTAATCTAAACATTTGTTCAGGTTGTGTAGCACTTATGTTTTTCCTTGTAACCACCATTCTTTTCCAAGCTCTCCTTCCTGCAAAAAAAACATAGACAAGAACCTTTAATTTAAGCCCATAGTGGGCGCCAAAACGCACCTACACAAGGGTACAAGAGTAATTTCATCCTTCAATCTAAAGCTGCTAATTTTCGTTCTTTAACTCTTCAATACTCCTAGTCTTTGTTCAACAAGTCTTTAATCCTTCATCGGTCAAGTGACTATCTTTAGCTCTACTTATCTGAAGGATTAAATGCCTTCGATTTTATCTACCTATGTCAGGGTAGCTGTCTTCGGTCCTACCTGTCTGAATGGGAGAAAAAGAATGTACTTACAAAAGTCACTCCAATGCTGAAGTAAGTCATCGATCTTAGTCAAGTCAATACAATTAAAATTACTGTCATATACATACATATCTTTTATAAAAATGTCTGAATTTATTAAACATTAAAACATTTTTTTTAACCATTTCGAATTATCCTTTAATCTAAGAGAGGTGTGTGCATTTGTATGAATATGATCAAGTTAGAGTTTGATAGAGTAATGATACTTGTGAGTTAGATTATGTATTTGGTTCAATTGGTTAGAAAGCTTTATTTATCGACAATCACCTTTGGGTTGTGGTCCTTAGGTGAAGATGAGTTTGCTCCTTCAACAAGAGCTAGGAGTTTTGAAGTTTAATGTCTCATATCATATGCAAAGTTTTGTGACTGCAATCAATCACTTGATGTGATGGTGGAAATGTATTGTTGAATGGCAATAGTCCTTGTGATGAGTTTAAATAGGCAGTCGATGAAAAGAGGTCAATGGACTTTACCAATTATAGGTAAATCTTTGTATTAGGGGCACATTATTACTCAAGAACAATTTCCCATAAGCCAATATGCTTGAGCATTTGAGAGGAGTTGGCTTATATGGTTATTTTGACCATCACATTGGTCCACATGTTTTATTTTCATTCGTTGCCTTTTCAAACTTTTAGTTGTGACCCTCTAGGTTTTTAGTTGGAGGATTTTTAATGAAAGGGTGTCATGTGTTCATCATTGGGCATGTGAGTAACTATTTTGATATTAGGGGTTTTCTCGTGCTTGTATATATGTGTGCAAGAAATGAAGTGTTTTATGTGTTTGTCCCTTGATTTCCTTATAGAAGACAAATTTCTATTAACGAGTTTTCAATCTTGCGTACAAATGTATGATGGATTTGCATTTGAAAGTTTCTTAGGGCCTCATCTTCCAATTTTTCTAGTAAATTATCTCAAGCATTCTCCCTTTCCTTGATTATTAGTTTACTTTTTCCTCTTTGCTTTGGTTGTGTGGGATTTCTTGAGATGGGCATGGTGTTGCTCACATCATATTGGTTAGGCCAAGGTAAGGTTGTTGTGCATAATGATGACAATTCTTCACCTCTAAAAGGAAGGCTTTGGTGGAAAACATTGTTTTTGCTTCATGAGGTTTCTCACATATCAATTTGCATTTTCTCCCTAATGCCCATTAGGGTGGAATTTTGGGTGAGCCCTTATTAGAGATCCTTTGCCTAGTATGTTAGAGACAATGCAACCTTCCTTGCCTGTCATGGTTTAGATGCCCATTATGAGTTGTAGTGACACTAGTAGTGACATTTTTTCTTTTTTAATATTAAGTTGTTCTTTTAGGAACTAGGAGCCATGGAAAAAAAAAAAAAAAGAAGAAGAAATTTCATGGAGGCCAATAGGTCTTAAGAAAGTGGGTTAAGAGTTTAATTCATCCTTACAAAATTAATTTGTAAGTGAAGATTGCTCCCCACTTATATACACTATTATGGTCTTATCCATATTTAATGTGAGATCTCCAACACACCCCCATCATGCCGAGGACTGGACATTTCAAATGTGAAGGTTTTAAGATTGGACATTTGCGAATAGTCTGATAATGGCCTGATAATGAGTGGCTTAATAAACCCTTCAACACTTGCTAGGATAGGCTATGATATGCTTTGATAACATATTAAGAAAGTGAGTTAAAAGCCTAATTCAACCTTACAAAAATGGCTTGTAAGGTGAGGATGGCTCCCCATTTATATATAGTATTATGGCCTTATTCCTAGTCAATGTGGGATCTCCAAGGTATGTTGGATATTTGATATCGACTAAGAATAAGGTCACAATAGTGTATATAAGTGGGGAATAATCTTCACCTTAGAAAGTTGATTTGTAAGATTGAAAATTCTTAACCACTTTCTTAAGATGGTATAAGAACATATCAAAGTTTATATCCTAGCGATTTATTAGTGGGGTTATCAAGCCACCCACTATTGGCTCGTTATTGGGCCACCCACAAATGTCTAGTATTATAAACTTTATACTCGAGATGCTCAGTTCTCAACGTAACACATCGACTAGAAATAAGACCATAATATATATAAGTGCATAGTAATGCTCACCTTATAAGTCAATTTTGTAAGATTGAGTCAGACTCTTAACCTACTTGACTTAAAGTCTCTTCCGCGGCTTAATGATACCAAGTTTTCATGGGTGGATGTGGAAGCCCTTGGTACTAGGAAAGTGTTCTCTAAGATGATTGAGTTGCTTTGGTTGATGGAGGAGGTTCCTCTCACTTGTTTAGGAATGGGTGATTCATATTGGGAATTTGAGTTTTTTGAGAGTGATGGGAGTTTAATTCGCATGGAGTAGAGGGAATTGGTTGAGCATATAAAACGCATATATGAAGTAAAAAAAAAACACATGATTTCCAAAATTTTTAAAAAATTTGTAGACATGATTTATATATTAATTTTTTTTAATTTAATAGTTGGATCATTAAAACTTGGTGTAAAATATGAGTTATTGAATGAAGTAAAGTAAGTCTACACTTAATAAGTGAATCTCTTTTCATATATGTATATGTGTGTGTGTGTGGAGTGTCATCAACACACTGATCTCTAACACACTCTTCTAGATACATTTCCTTTTATTGGTTAGAATTTATTGAAAGTCACAAAATCAGGAGAAAGGGTCATTAAATAGGATATGAGATCCATCAACTTTTATATTTTTGAATAAATTTTAACTAATTAAAAATAGTGTGTTCAAAAGAGTGTGTTCCTAGCTCCCTCTCTCATAATAAGATATGTTGATACACTCCTTGTGTCTATCAAGATCCATTGACACCATGGTGTCAAATTAATGAAATGATACTTTAAATTATTTTTATAAAATGTAATTCAATCATCCCAAATGTTGTATTTGATGATATTTATGTATATAAAATTTAAAATGATTTAAACTCTTCTAAATATGTTATCTACCAATATATATTTACATGTATTTTGTATATCACTTTATTCATTAAAATAAATTAATATGATGAACTACCAAATAATTTTATAATTGAATCCAATTTTGTATACTTGATCTAATTAGTAATATCATCAAGTATAACGATCGGATCGATTGAATTTACATTCTATAAAAAAATTATTGAATGTGTAATTTTTCTAATTTGACACTATAATATCAATGAATTCTAACTCTCTCTCTCTTTGACAAACACACACACACACATATATATATAAAGAGAGAGAGAGAGGGAGACAAAGAGTAAAAGGACTACATTCCTCTAAGACTAACTCTAAAAGAGTTACTTCTCATTCATCCTTCATTTTCTTCAATTTAACATATAATTGTCATTAAATTAAAAGAAAATAAAGGACAAAAATAAAGAGTAAATCTTTTAAAATTAATTTAAAGTAACTTGATCCTCTCTCATATGTATATTGTTTTGGAATAAAGAACGATTAATGAGTCCAAATTATATTTTAATTAAATTTTGTTTTTATAGACAACACTCATTCATACTATACTTATGTCTCATTAATTTCTTTATGTTTGATATTTTTCATAAGCAGATGGACACTCTCTAAGTTGGAGCTTAGAGCCGCTTGATGGAAAAAGGGTGTAGTGTTTGAGCTTTCTAATGGATAGGAGTTTGTTTTATCTTTTAAGTAAATGCTTCTACATGTTACAACTTACAACACATCTTATTCCAAAAGTTGGTATTGGGGTTTTTATAATAGATTTATGTTTTGTTTTCCACACCAGCTCTTGCAATTTGGAATACAAAGTTTCCATGTCCTATAAATATAGATTAAATGATTCAAATCCACTACCTCATGCATTAATGGCAATCACAATACAACTAGAAGATTCAAGAGCTTTATATTTGTATAAATATATTATACATTATATATTACTTAAATATGTGAAAAAATAAAAATAAACATTTATTATAATATAATAATATTATAAAACTAAATAAATAATAACTTAAACTTTTAATATTATTTATTTTAATTTATTATTTTGATAACCAAAATAACATACATTATTGATGTGATAGTTCTTATTGTTCCTTTCGATAATGTAATAGTTCTCGATGTATTGTTTTATCTATACCACATATATCTTTTATGAAAGACAATTCTATTCAAACCAAATAAAATTATCATGGAAAGGAAAGTTCTTGAATATTTAATATACTTCAAACAGGATAAAATTATGAGTTAATCACTTATACATTGTCGGTATAAAGTTTTTTTACACTGACAACCAATAAAATTCTTTTTTCAAGTATTTAATATATTAATGACTCGAATTCAAGACTATTGATTAAACTAAAACAACACTCCTCATCAATTAATTCATGTGCTAGTTGATAATAGTTCTTGTTGTTTGTTATTATAAAAAGCAATATTAAATATTACTAAGCTTGTACAATCAATTATTTGCAACATTTTTTAAGTTAATACTAAAATTGGAAAGACTATGTTAGTGACTAAAATATAGTATTTGTATTGATTGTAACAAAACAATTTTGAAGATATTAAGAAAAAGGATATTTAAATTTGAATGAAACAAAATGAAGGAAAGAACACGTAAGTACACGTAGTATGACTAAGGGTGTGTTTGACTAACTGCATTTGCCATCCTCTTCGGATCTCCAAACAAATCCAACAAAACCAACGCTCTCTACAAACCAAATGCTGCTGCCAATGCCATCCACGCCATGACCATCCACGTTCGTCGCATCCCGCGCGCCGCCGCCGCCATGAGCGCCACCGCCGCCGCCATCTCGCGTCGCATTCCCAACCGCTTCATGGCGAGGCCGCCGCCGCCGCACTTCCGCCGCCTGACGAAAACGCACCGTCCTCCGACGCCGCCAATGCCCGTCGTTTCGTTCTCCTCCTCTTCCTCTTCCTCTCCCTCTCCCTCTCGCAAGTCCGGCTTCGTGGCTTGGTATCTGCGCATGCTCCAATCTCACCCCCTCGCCACCAAGAGCGTCACCTCCTCCATTATCTTCGCCGCTGCTGACGTCACCTCCCAGGTGATGAACCTTCTTTTGCGATTCTTATAAGATGTATACAATATCGTTATATGTTAATTTTAAGGGTTTAATGGTCTTCACAATTTTACACTTTCAATCAATGAAAAATATTGTTACCATGACTTTTGAGATAAATTAATAAATTTGTCGTACATTTGTTCCTTGCTGAATGAAAGGATATAACTGTTTTACGTGGTTGATGGGTAGTCTATATATTCATTTTTTAAATTTACTCATTTTTACTCATAGTAATAAAAAAGTTATAGAAACTAAAAATAAAAAAGTCATAAATTACACGAAGAAAAGTTATATTTAAAGACTATTTTTTAATTTCCTAGTTTGCAGAACTTGCAAAATAAGAAATTAAAAATACAAAATTTATTCAAATCAACTAAGAAAGGAAACAGAGGAAAAAAGGAATGAAATGATGTAAGGAAACACAACTAAGACAAATAAAGCCACTTGTTTGAATGATTTGCGAACAAAATGTTTAGACAAATTTGGAATAGATTGAAATCTAGAAAAGGGTTTTTTTTTTTCTAGATTGTAAGATATTCTAACTTCAAATTGTTTGCATAACTTGAGCTTCTATAAAGGTTATTTCAGACTAAACTTTGTTTTCGTAAGCCTTATTCAAACATTTGACACCGAGACTTGTTCACTTTTATCTATCGTATTTTTAAGTCTGCTTGGTGAATGAATGAGTTGAGTACTAAGTAAGATAGCAACACTCTACATTCCCCTTCTCCTAATTCAATTTGCTTTTGGTGTAATGATTACTCATTTTTGAGCTGGTATGTTGTAACAGTTTGTGTGAAATTGTATGAGTATGGCATAGGATGACTGAATTACTTTCTATTTGATATATTCTTTAATGAATTTTTATTATATCGAACTACTTGTATATTTTGAATCAAGGTCCAGGAGCATACTCTGTTTACTGAATTGGGTAAAAATGCTCTCATTATTTTTATTATTACTACTTTTGGCTTTTATTGGGTCTTTTTCACTAACATTCTGATTTACTCATTTGTTAGATTATAACATTGCCCTCTTTTTCTGCTTCCTACAATATACTGAGGACATTCCGAATGGCAGCATATGGGTTGCTAATTTTGGGGCCATCACAGCACAATTGGTTTAATTATCTATCCAAAATTTTACCCAACACAGATGTGACATCAACGTTGAAGAAAATCTTAATGGGGCAAGTTATATTTGGTCCTGTGATCAATACTGTCTTCTTCACCTATAATGGTGCTCTTCAAGGTGATCTTTAGCTTCTGAATACTGACCTTGTCTTAAATCTTCAATTCTATAAGCTCATATGATACTAAACTGAAATGGATTGTTAGTTGATTTAGATAGTTTTTAACTCTAAATGATTTGTTTATGGGCTTCATTTATACCCCAATACCTTTTTCTAATATTCTTTGGCTACTTACAGATTCGGGTGTAGGGGACTTGGGCTGTTTTATATACTCTGCCTGCATATTTCACCCTATACAGATTTAACATAAGCATTATTATTTTACAAGTTTAATGGTTTTGCACCGAGAGTGTAAAACAAGTTTACACAGTCGATCAATTAAAAAACATTGTTGGGAAAACTACTTTACAATTTTCGTGCATAGTCTATTTTCTCTTATTTTATTTATTTCCACTCAATTTTTTTGGCATTGTGCTTGTTAAAATCTGCTATATTGGGGAACAAGCATATAGTTTTTACAAAGTTATTGGTGATTCTGAATTACGATTTTGATACTGATATCAGGTGAAAGTGGACCTGAAATCATTACCAGGTTGAAGCGAGATCTACTTCCTACATTGTTAGGTGGTGCACTCTTTTGGCCCGTTTGTGATTTTGTTACCTTCAGATTCCTTCCAGTCCATTTACAGGTTTGTGATTGTGGATAAAATTTCTTTGTTAAGAACAATTTCATGTTTTATTTTTAAAGATAAAACTTGCATAAAGTATTTTTTTAGTACTGTTCGCCTATCAAAATTAAAGTTTCATCTTATAATATGTATAATAAATAATTCATTAAATGCTAATGTATAATGTGGATGTAAAACACCAATTCTAATAGGAAAACAGTGACCACAATACCTATTGGTTCCGGATAAAGTTTTGTCCTTATTTTTATTTAATCAGCAGTTTTTATCTTTTTTGTGATTGTATTAGCTTTATAGCTATTGTTTGAATCTCTTTTACATGCTGCAGCCACTGCTTAATAGTTCCTGTGCATATGTATGGACCATATATTTAACATATATGGCAAACCGAGGGTGACCAATGCTTGGCTTTTGTATACGTGCCGTTGCTTAGAAGATCTGTTGGCAGAGAGATATTTGACTGAGATTCAAGAATCTTTGTAGTTGCAAGTTTCTTAATTTCATATTTATTCAATTCTTTATGTATATAGCATACACTTTATATTCTTAGTTTTCTCTTTAATTTGAAAGGAAGTGACTTTTTTTCTTGATAATTATAGAGGTAAACAGAGATAAAAGTCATGCTTTACACTCTTAAATTGTTGTTTCTGTCTGTCACTGGTAGGAGTAGGTCTCTACTTTGACCTCTTTTTCTCCAGTAACCTGGACTTATTAAATGTCAAATTAATTTGTTACGTATTTTAAATATTAATAATTAGTGTTTTTTTTTATCTGTATCAGTTTTTATTTATTTATTTATATTCATAATAGCTAATTATAATAGTTTTTCGCATAAATTATGACCTTAAATATTATACTACTACCCTAAACCTTTAATATATAATAATAATAATAATATATAATAGTTTCTGCATAAATGTAGTTTCTTTATATTTGTAAAAGTCAAATATGATATTAAATTTAATTCATTTTCATAACAAATAAATATAATTTATTATGTTTCTCTTGTTTTTGTATGTGTTAGCATGTAGGCTCTGACTCATTTTTATACATCCTTCTTTAATTATTTTTTCTTCGAGAAGACCCTTCTTCAATTTATGTAATGCAAGTTATTTACTTGATATATTATTTTCAAATGCTATAAGTAAAATACATTTGAGTAAAGTAATGTAAAAAATGGTTCATTTACCATGCTTGTGTCCATATATACTTTCATTCTCACAAAAATTGTTCTTTCACTATATATAGATACCAAGATGTGTGTTTGTACATGAGAGGGCTATTTTTATATAAGAACGATAAAAGTGAATGTTGACAATTGTATTTTAGCATGATGATCGAGATTAAAACTCATGAGGTTTTTTTTTTCTCACTAAATCTGTGTGAGTTTAAATTGGATCACTCTTAGCTTATTTTTAATTATTACTTCCTTTCTATCTTTTTAAAAATTGTCTGTTTTAAAGCAAAATTTGGTTTTATTTATTTATCATTTTTAAAGTCAAAGAGAATATTAAATTTTTTTTTTTCAATTATACTCTCACTAATCATATAATTGAAACTAGTTTATACATTACCAGAAAATATATGTTTATTATGAAGTAAAAATGAAATATGATATAATAAAAATATCAATATAATTTTATAGAAATAAAAAAAATTATTACATTTCTAGGTCTAAATATAACAAACTTAAATAACTATTAAAAAGGAACGAAACTTATTTTCTTAAACAAAAATGAATTGTCCAACTATTAGAATAAACTCTTAAAGGATTATTGTAAGGACAATACTTCGATGTAATTTCTTATGTTTATTTTTTGTTGTTTTACGATCAAAAATAGAATTTCATTTCCCTAATTTGTGTAATAAAAATTTACATGATAAATTATTATAAATTTTGAAGGTAAAAACTTCTATAAATCTCACCTTTTTTCTTATTATAAATACTAGAGAAAAAAAAAAAGACACCGCATGTCTCTTAATATTTATTTTATAAGATAAAATAGAGTGAGTAGTTATTAAAAAAGAATTATAGTTATTAAAAAAATTATTAATCTTTTAAATTATTTTTAATAATAAAAAAATATAATAATTTATTAATATGAAGATAAAAATGATTAATAAAGAAGATATTCATTTTAAATATTAGTATAATACCGTTTCCTTTTCTTTCATCTCATTTTCTTCATATTTTTCTTTTTTGTCACATCATTCATCACTGTTTTTCCTTCCTTTTTTTTCTTTCTTTTTATCTTTCTCTTCTAATTCACCTTAAAATGGGTAGATATAGTATTTTTAACACCCCATTTTTTAATAAAATATAATATAAATATTTTATTTATAATTTAATATTTTTATTTTATTAATAATGACGGTTAAATATTTGTTTTAATTATGTAATATATTTTAGAATATATTATATGATATTTTATTAAAGAATAAAATAATATTTTATTAAAAAGGAAGGGATCTTCGAGATAACTGTAGTTAGTATGTTTTAACTAGAGGATTAAAGGGAGGTTAGACTTCTTTTTTTTTTTTTTTTTAAAAAAAGATGAGCTTTCTGATCAAACCTTTTTTTACGTTTCCATTTTCATGTACACACTTCAGAGTTCGAAGAATAGGAGCAACAAGGAAATCACTCTGAAGCCATGCACGTATCATCTAGAGCTTAACCAAGTAAGGGGGGAGTGAGAAACTTTGCTCTAGGTATTGGTTTGTATGCTGCGTAGTGGGATTGGCCTCAATCTTGTGTTTGTTGTATGCTTATGTATGAGAAGTTTTTCCCAATTGTGTTTGTTTCACTTTGTTTTCTTCTTGTATGTAATTACTTGTATGAATTGCCTTAATGAATGATTGATTTCATGTTTTGAGATATTAATTGTATGATTTGAGATCTCTGTACGTTTCTTGGAATCCCCAAGGGAATGTATTGGTGATTGTACGAAGAGATTATTAGGTATGTAGTTATATGTATAAATTGTATTTTTTAGAAGTGTAACATATCATATAGAGAGTTTTTATCAATTGGATTTAGAAAAAAAAAATTAGGTGTGAGTTGTGTCAGATTCTGAAAATTCTAGTATAAATATATCTAGGTATTTATCTGATTTCTCAGTGTGATTAATGAAATAGAGTTCTTATTGTTGGATTATAAAGTATACATTTAGAGCTATAGTTTAGACTCAAGAATCACATAAAAATGTTAAGGAATGATCAAGTTATGTGAGTTAAAAAATGAACCTCATATTTTGTGCATGAAATATAACTTGTGTACATTATAAGCTTTTTGAGTAGACTTAAATGGAAGCATTAGGTTTTGTAATCTTCATGAAAGTTGTAGCCTTGGATGTTAGCTTTTAAATTCTGTTAGAATCACCTAAAAAAGAGGTGTAGAACTCATGTTATGATCAAATTAGTGAGCAAAGGTCAAAGTGTCAAATTTAGGCTGAAACATTGCGGTTTTGTATTTATTTAAAATAGTAGATGGCATATTCAACTCTTGAGGTCAACATAGAAGTTGAAGATAATTGTATTATATTTCTAATAAAATTAAGATTAATTTAATATCATATATATAGCTCTAGATAAGACGTTTGGATCACACAAGGTCTTAGAAAGTTAAGTTGTGGAAATGTAGTTTGTAATGAGGATGATGAATAACTTTACCCTTTTAGTGTTTGATCTTATGAATAATTTGTGTAACACCCTGAGATTTTTCTAATAATAATAATAATTAATTAGGGAGATGATAATGATTTTATTTTATTTTGTGATTAATAGTTTTTATTTTATACATTTTAATAGATTTAATTAGGTAGGGGAGTGTTAGAAATAATTAAGATAAGAGAGGGTTTAGAGAAATAAAATTTATAGATTATAAGAGAAGGGAGACATGGGGGTTATTATTCATTTTTTTTCACGTTCTTTGACGCTGTGTGCTTTGAAGAGAACGCATATGGAGAACAAGGACAAAGAATCATCAAAGATAAGCCAAAGGCGTTGATATGATACCTTGCATCACTCTAGGTAAGGGGGAGTGAGAACACTCATCTATGGGAATTGGGTGTATGCATGAAAGGTTGAGAGATTGACCTCAATCCCATAAGTATTTTGTTTGATGAATTTTTATGTATGTTTGATGTGATTTAGAGTAGATTTCTAATATGAAGTCTATTTGATGATTAGATGTTTCTAAAGTAATTAATTGAGTGCTTTGAGGAAAGGGGTTAAATCCTAAGGAAAATAATTGATTAATCTTAGGGATAAAAGTTGTAGACGCTGAAGTTAGTAATTTTCTAGATGTAAAATGAGTTCTGGATGATTATAACTTGTATGATTGATTATGGTGATGTGTATTCAATATTATTGCTCAAATGTTGATGTATTTGGGTGTTGGATCTCACACGACCCCAGGCTCCAGTGCCCAAAAGTCGAGCGTACCTTCATATGTATGAAGGCTTTGTCTAGATGTGTTGGTGTCGGATGTGGAAATACCCATGCCGAGCGTGAAGTGCCCAAAGTGATCTCTATCTCAGCTTAAAGTTGGGCACAACTTTATTAAGTCGGGCGCAAGATGGATATGTGCTCTCTGTCTCGCCTTAAAGCCGAGCACAACTTTTTTTAAGTCAGGCTTGTTTTTTTTTTAAGCTGGGCTTGAATTAAGCCGAGCGTGAGTTGGCCAAAATGCTCTCTATCTCGGCTTAAAGTCAGACGTGGGTTCCCAAGCCCGCCGTACATTGTTAGGAGACTCTTTTATGATGTTTTAAATGATGATTGATTATGTAGTGATGCATATGTATATATGCATTTATGCTTGATGAATGATGATTTTTATCTTGGTGGATGACATTCGAAGTGGATAAATATAGATGTTGATGAATGGTGAATTGTATGATGATGAATGTATATAAATACTCTATGAATGATAAATATTATCGAAATGGGTGACAATTAATGAGGATGAATATAGATGTTAGAGAAACGATGATTATAAGGTGATCATGATGTATTGATATAGAAGCATTTGCATGGTTGTGACATGCCATCATATTTGCCTAATTCTGTGGTTCTGGTGGGAACTTGTTTATGTGGTTTTGGTGGGAACCTATAGGTTTTTTGGTGGGAACACTTCTATGTTGTAGCCTAAGGTTAACTCGGGACTTAGGTACCAATTGTATATTCTCGATGATGATGGCCAGGTACCCCATGCATTTAGACATAAGTGCACATTGCATTGCATTTATGTGTATGTGTTTTGTTAATGGCATTGATGATGTTATAGTGGAAGTAGAAGTATTAAAAGTTGTTATTATATTTGTTTGTCGTAAAAGGATGGGATACTGAGGGTTGCGACCCATTCCTTATAGAGTGAGATTGTTCTCACTCCTTGTTTGTTTGTTGGTATGTTTTGTATATTTTATAGACAAAGATCCTTAGTCTTGGGAGGAGTAGGGAGAAGTCTAGGTGTGTGCAAAAAACTCTGATGTCAATGTGACACCAGGGATTTGGAGTAGTTAGGAAATTATATTAAGTGTTTTGGTTTTAGTTCAAGTACATTTAAGTTGTAATTGTTATTTAATCTTTAGATGATCTAGTTACTATCTTTATAACTTTTAATGAGGATGATTTTAGATTTACGAACTACGTGTATATATATATATATTTAATTGAAATCTCTCTTAGAGGTAGATGGGTGTCACAGTTTGAGGTACTTATATCAATGTTTAGGAAGGATGAATTATGGTAGAAAGCAATTGTTAATAGGTTA